CCCCAAAACCCCAAAACCCCAAAACCCCATGATGATAATCTGAAATAAATAAAAAGAAATACTTTAAATGCTGTATTAAAATTAATATTTCTATATTTTAACTAAAGTAATGCCAAGATGTGTAAAATTAGCAAATATTGTCTAATCTTGCGACTAATTTGGGCACACCATTTCGCTCAAATATAAAAATAAGCCAACCCACAAATCCCTATTTGGAGGAGTAATATCAATATTATACGCTCTAAGCATCTTTATATTCCTGATGATGCAGTTAAAAAGAGTGGTTGAAAGAGATAACACTATATAGATAACTAGTTATAGAAGAAATGTAATTTCAGATTAAATTGAATATCATATGACTTTTGAAAATTTTGACATTGCCTATCGTCTTATGGTAAAAAACAAGACTATTGAAAAAAATTTAGAAAGATATGTTAAAGTGTCAATGGGTGTATTTATACAAGAATGGAAAGACGATTTTTACATCAGCAACTTTGTTTAATTTCCTCTAAGTATCTGCAATGAAGGATGATTTAATGGAGAAAAAGAATAAACTGAAATTTTAGAAATACCAGGAATTTATTATTGTCCAGATATACTAGATTTCAAATTGTCAGGCTTGCTATCGTCAAAAATAACAAAATAATTCCAAATTTAAGTTGAGAGATGTGATAGCAAGAACCAAACATGTGAGAGTGAAAAAGAGATAGATTTTGCTCTAGATTAACTTGAAATGTCCTTGGTAATGCTTAATTAAATTCCAGATGTAAACGATTTCTCAAATAATCCAATAAAAACACAACTTAAATTACTCTATGCTACAACTGCTTCTAGTGTTTCTCAAACATTTGAAGTGAGATTAAGTCAAAATTTTATGGTTTTCAGTGACTCATGGTTTAGTAATCAAATGTATCTTAACAATATAACTTATTACTCAATCAAGTATGACATAAATTATTCTGGAAAATATCAGTATGGAAATTCAGTGTTGACCTATTACATTTTATTTGATGAATAGGTAACTACAACTATCAGATAAAATTATACTATTGCTGATGCTCTTGTTTCAACTGGGGGATTGATAGGAGTAATATAAGTGTTTCTTATTTACCTCACTAGTTTTATCCAGGAGTAACTCTTTGAATTTAATATTTTAAGTGAGCTATATTAAATAGATTCTAAGTATGATCTTTCATAATCATTGAAGATTCCAAAGACTAACTCCATCAAAGAAAACTCACAGATATAAAAATATGACTTTAGATTAAAAGGCTTGATGAAAAATATAAAAAATAGAGTTGGCTTCTTAGTAAGTTTTAAGGAATATATCAAGCAGATACTACCTTGCAAAATATTTTAGACAAACTTTATAATAAAATAATGAAAATAAATGTTATCTATGGCGAGATAAAGATTGCAAAGCCAATTCGACATAGTCCAATTAATTAGGAATGCTTAAAACTAAGATCTAATAATGAAGATTATCCTTAAAAAATACTAAAGAGATTTAATCCCTTTTTTCAAGTCCAACTTGATAGAATATTAGGAACTCCAGGATAAAACATAAATGGTCAATACCAATAATCAGCAAAGTGGATAAAAAAATAAATTTGGATGGATGTCTATTCCAGAATTGTAAAGAAAGCAATTAAAAAGTTTTCTAAATTTGATAATTAAAAACTCAGATAAATCTGAAATTGACAAAAGAATTCTTAAAAATCTTGAACATAAAAACTAAATCAAACAAGATAAAAGAAGTTCTCACCTATTATTACTTAAGAAGAATTTTCTAGCTAATCTAAACTAAAAGCTTGACTAACATGACCAAATATCTCAGTCTTAGACTAGTTTATTCGATTACATAGATGACAATGATTTTTTGTAGATTGATGAATTAGATATTAAAGGTGTTATTGTTAAACAAAAAAAATCAGACATGGAAAATAATTTATTTGTTGAGAAAAAATCTTCCATCAATGAGGTCAGTTTTGATGGGTTAAAATTTAATAAGGAATCTCAGGCTGATATTACAAACAGAGAATTGATATTTGATTAATAACTTTAGGATTGATTTCAGTTTAATAAATTTAATATATTCCTGATTTTGTCAATATTTGGATTAATGGGGTTTTGGGGTTTTGGGG